AGACAGTGGTTGAAGAGAAGCTGGATATTCTCCAAGCAAGTTTACCTGAATTTCTAATCAAAAAGAAAACAAAGCCCGACGCTTCTGTCTGTCTGTCTGTCTGTCCGTCTGTCTTTCTGTCTGTCTTTCTGTCTGTCTGTTTGTCTGTCTGTCTTAATTTCAAATTGTTCAAATCTGTTTTCCCGTAGTTCTTTGTCTATGACATCATCGATTATGACGGAATTTTGTAGAAGGCGAAGTTTTCATGGTATTTCTTATCTTTGCTATACACTGAATAACAACTTCGTAATTTTGATTCAACTTTTTTTCATTTAACCTTCGGTTAACGAGGTGGCTTAAAGCTAACCGGCTGCCGGTTTTAACCCGAGATTGGCGGTTATCTAGCTACAGACACAACGAGCTAACGTGCGGTTAAATTTAAACCCCAAGTTAATTTAGATTTAAGACTTTTAAGTCTTAAAGGTTAGAACCTTCTTTTAATCAACCGAAACCTAGGGGAAGGGGTTAACAACCACTGTGTGAGAAACGTTTCATGCCTCAGAACACAGCACATTGACGCAGTCCAGCGCAAGCAACAAGATTCTTTAATCCAGTGTACGGCACAGAGACGATTGGGCAAATGTACATCTGAAATGGACAGCTCTGAAACCATAATAAAGCAATACCTTTGTATAATCACCATCCTCCCTGTAGTCACGGAAAAACTCTCCATCGTAACTGTAAGCAAGTTTGAACTTCGTAACCCACCGCTGCCAAGACCGGTACGAACATCCCTGAATGGCCACACCAGTCACCTTGGTCCAATTTACAAATTCTACTTGAAACCATTGCTCAGCGCCATTTATGGCAGCTATCCAGCTTTCCTGTTGGTAAAGCCGACTCCGACTTGCTTTATAGTACCGTTCGCTTGAAGCCTTTATGGCCGAATCGGGGATGTTGTTATTTTCTAATCCAAGACTAGCCATACATGCAGGCGGTTTAGAGGTCGGAAAACCTGTGATAGAAAAA